TTATGTCTGATGTATCGCAGTGGCTATGGACGAAATACGTGGAACAAACAAATGACTTTGACAGAAGTTTATTTAACATCATCAATTTATTTATTATAACACACTATTTTAACAAAGAAATAATGTTTAGTGAGAACGAAAAATTTTAAGTTTTGTAAATTTTTAAAAAGATATAGAGAAAATATTTCTGCACAAAAAAATGTTCATAAACAATGGATAATTTTAGTTATCACAAAAAATGGGTATGTTCGTGAAAAAAAAAAGTTGATGATGTCATTTTTTTTGAATTTTGAAAAAAATGTTTTTCCAAGTGCGAAACGGACCTTAGCGAGTCCCTATTCAGGCCATCTAAACAGATTTTTACTATCGTTCTTCGTTTGTCTGTTGTGGGTCCCAGACGCGAATTTTGGGACACCCTGTATATACTTCAGATTCATCCTTTATAGGAGATCCGGGTAAAAACATGCTATTTTAACATTTCGCGTGTTTGATATATTTTTGGATATTTCTTTGCGAAAATCGACTATTTCGCAGACTTTTAGGCTGATTTGTTCAGTTAAATTGTACAAGAATTTTTAGGAAGAAGACATAATTGCGCTTCCTGCAAATTTCCTACACCTCGCACCTACCATCCACTTCGCTATTTAACAACTCAATCGTGGGCTTAAGTTATATCAAATATAGTCAGTTTTAAAATAATTATACATAGTCGCAAAAAACGGCAGCCTTTGTGCAGATAAATTGCAGTCTGTGTTACCTCTATCTCTTTTAACCTCTTTGAGTTGAAATAACGAAAGATTGGTGGGGATTTCTGGGCTGTGAGACCGTTTTCGGTGAACTTTCGCCTGTATTTTGGAAAGTAAACGAGATGTCGGCATAATAAGGCCAGTTTCTAGTTACAGTAAGTCGGATTACTAAAGCTATAAAATATTTGAGAAAAACAATTTTGCGAAAAACACGTTATTTTTTTAACTGTAACATGGAAATAAGTGAAAGATACGCCACATTTTACACCCACCAGGACAATTCATCACTCAAACGGCATCCACTTTTCTTATTTACAATTTCAGTATTACCCGCAAGCCACCAATCAATGACACTGCCCGTCACAGGCGTCGGTCCGTCGAAAGCCCGTGATTAAATCTAGAGAGCAGACAAATCGGGTGCAGAACGTCAATTATTTTAAATATCGTTACTTCAATCCGTAACTCGAGGCGAGCACGTAAAGGGTGCAGTCGAGTAGGCTATGCATCAACCGACACGGGACGCTTGTTTGTAAATCCTAGGGTATTTTAAGAAACAATTGAGGGTTCACTTCGGGAGACTGGCACGGAGTTTGTACGTCTCTTTCTGTATTATGCCGGAGATTTGTTCGGAATGTGGGATCGGCATGATATATCGCGCTATTAGGTATTGAATAGGCTGCTAGTATTATAGTTGGAACCTATTTATACGCATACGAGACTGATTGATCGGATACTTTCACAGGACTGGCCAGACGGCGGCTCATCAATCAGTCTGCACGTGCCCTAAGGGAAAAACGTTAAGCGACACTTTTTCGCGATGGTCATTTTGCCATCTCTTTAGGCATAAAACTATATAGTGTCCGGTAAATATCTACTAATCTCTCGGGAGCGTATAGGGAAGGTCAAAATAACGACTACTGTCTATAATTTTTGTTCCTAATGTCCCTTTTAGTGGAGATATTGGGCTCCAGAGAGCTATGCACAACTTATATAAACCAGCTAATTCAGATGAGCCGAAATCGCAAGATGCGCATAGCAGACTGCGCATTGATTTAAGTTTGCAGAGATGCTCTACTAACCAGCTGTGTGTAAAGAACAGAGACGTTTAAAATTTTTACACTGTGACAATTTTGTTCGATAAAATTTAGAATCATATTCATTGATGAGTTGATGATTATCTAAAAGAGGCACGAGATCTATACAAAGTATACGGAGGTTTTCGAGGTCGCTGATCACGAATCCGAGGTCAGATTTTCAAAATTTAAGATGGCGGATCCAACATGGTGGATGGGTTTTTTTAAATTTAATCAATGGCGACTGAGATACGGGGGTTTTGGGAGTCACTGACCCCACATTCGTGATCAGCAACCCCAAAAACAGCCGTATACCATGTTTAATACAAATCGACTGATTTTCAAAAAAACTCGTCCTCCTTGAATTTTGCAAATTGTCGGATTCGTGATCAGCGACCTCGAAAACCTCCGTATACAAAATTTGGTGAAAATCGATTTATGCCATTCTGTATAAAACAAGTTAAAGTGATTTTATAAATAATATATTGATTTACTGTTTTATAGGTTATAAAGGGTTATAAGGGTATTTTGGTTGTACCTTCTATAAAAACCAAATTTGTATCAATTTAAAATGATATACAGGGTGTACAGCAAATTCTATTACAAACTTTGACAGATGGTAGCTGGGTTAATTTCAACCGTTTTTTCTTATATGAACAGTCCGATTCGTTTTTGTTTAGAAGTTACAAGCATTTTAAAAAATTTCATATTTCAATCAAAGTAGCCTGATAAATAAAATTGATGGTTGTTATAACAATAAATTATTATTTGTGTCATTTTGTTTATTCATTTGACACTTCGAGTTAAAGAGCAAAATAAAAAATGCATTTATTTGCAACTGAAGAGTAGGTATGCAGATATTGTCTTTGTATATGGGTATTCCAATGGGAATGCCAGACAAGCAGCCCAAGAATACCGAAGATACCCAAATCAAAGAGACATGAACCTGCTCACACAGTCTTTAGTGCATCATTTCCTAGACTTCGAGAAGAAGGTAACCCCGTTCAAAAAAGGCCAATCGTCCTCCTGAAGTGAATGTACATACAAAATGAAGAAGATGCAATAGATGCTGTCAACTCTTCAATTAGTGATCGGCATACAGCAAGTAATCTTCATTTATCACCGAATTATGTATGGCATGTATTGAATAGATAAATGTTATATCCGTTTCATCGCCAAAATGTACAGGTGCTACATGCTTCAGCGATTAGACTTTTGTCGCTGGTTACTTCAACAACCTGCACGGAACGATAGATATATTTAGCTTGTCATGTAATTTGATGAAGATGTGTTACAAGGGACGGCATAAGTAATCATAATGAACATATCTGGGCGTTACAAAATCCTCATGCAAGTAGATCAAGACGATTTTAGCAACGTTTCAGTGTCAACGTTTGAGGTAGCATTTTCAATAATGTACAGCCTGCACATGTTTTAAATAAATCGTTTAAATGCAGATCCGTATAGAACTTTCTTGGAAAACAAACCTTTTTAATTTTATTGATGATGTAGGGCTTAATATTGTTCAAAGTATGTAGTATCAGTACGATGGTGCACCACCACATAGAGGAAGACAAGTAATTGCTTGGTTAAACGATCATTTCATGAATAAATGGATAGGTCAACAAGGTTCAGTAGCATGGCCACCGCGTTCCGCAGATCTAAATTCTTTGGACTTTTACTTATGGGAATATATGAAGCAGCTTGTCCACCATGTTGAAATATCTACCCGTCAGCAGTTACTTGAAAGAATTCACGATACAGCTAACCAGATACGAAATTTACATTCGAACATAGGGAGGACATTTTGAACAATTTTTATAGTCATAAGAATTGTTAATTTGGTTAATAAAGGTTAACTAATGTTTAAACTTTAAACACAAATAATATAATCATTGTTACAGCAACCATCATTTTTATTTATGAGGCTACTTTGATTGAAATATGAAAATATATTTTTTAAAATGCTTGTAACTTCTAAACAAAACCGAATCGAACCGGACCTATTTTCGTATAAGAAAAAAGCGTTGGAAATTGACCCAGCTATCATCTATCAAAGTTTGCCATAGAACTTGTAGAACCCTGTATAGCATTCACTAAAAATTTGTGACAAATGAACGAATGCGAATTTAAAATTGGAAAGGAACTTTTTGAACTTGACAAGGTTAAATAAACTAAAAACACGTAATATTAAAAAAATATGTATTTTAAATTTTTGCAGCCCGTTAAAAAGACAATTTATCTGGAAAACTATTTATTTTATCGAAATAAATGATGAGCATCTTTTTTAAATAAAAATCTAAAAATTATAAGTTCACTCTAAGCCTCGTTGCACTCTTGACGGACCGGCTAGCCGGATCCGGCTATCCGGATCCGACTGGCTCTTTCACACGTAATTTAATTTTCAAACCGGTTTGGCCGATATTAGTCTCAGTTGCATTTTTATCACAAGAAATGGATCGTAGACGCATTGTAATTATGTGGCTTGGCTATTGCCGATGTCATCGCAATAAAAAAAACAAAAAATATGAAAAATATCCAAAACATATGAAAAGGCTAAAGTTTTGTCCAACTGGACAGGTCTGGTTTCAAGCAGTGATATAAAGAATACTATATCTACTTCTAACGAACAAACATTCGACATAGTTGCTTACAAATATTTAAAAAATAATTGACACGTCCTGTTCTTTTCAATGAAACCGGACGACTGAACCCGGCAAGCACCCGGCAAGTGTGAAAGCGTCATTATAGTATATATGAAAATAAAAAAAAAACATGTGTTGGGGCCAGTTTGCTTCTGGATATCTTACAATATTTAAAGACCCATTTTAACATCAAATCATGGAACCTTATCTGTAACGTACTATGCGAAAATTTTATCAAAATGTACAAGGTGATTCCAATGTTAGAAACTAAAACGTACATCTCTAGATGTTCTTCTGGGGCTCGATATATCCGTTAAGAGAAACATTAGAAAAAAAATATCTAGTAGTGTTATTTTTACTTCCTTTATACTCTCTCGAGAGATTAGTAGATACATACCACACACCCTGTATAATAATTATTTCGAATCCGACCGATTCAGAGCATTTACCTGTAGACATAAGAGAGCGTTAGAAGAGAGCGTGAAGTGTAAATTTTGTTGTGTCTTGTTCTGCCTATGTGAAATATAAAAAAATACCTTTCTCCGCCTGGCCGGCGGCACGATGAAGTAGGTGGTGACGCAGTGGTCCCTCAGGTACTGATTTCTCGATGCGCCGTTGCCCGGTTCCACTTCGTATTCGCCTCCCAAGTAGTCTAGGGTGGCCTGGGTAATATGCACTCTCCTGAAAACGAAAATATAACGATCAAATTTGAGAAAATGTAGAATATAATTAGGTTTGTGCGAGAGAAGGGGCTAATTATCAATATTATTTATTTATTTATTTATTTATTTATTTATTTGATTCATCATTCAACAGAATATATCCAATTACTGAATGGGTGAGAACACAATATGTATAGTTGTTACGATATCAATTGGAATCTGTGAATCTTAAAGCACAGGACGGTCTGCACTTCTCTTGAAATTTCTTCATATGCTTTAGCCATGACGTGTCTCCTAATTTATACTCGAATAGCCATTGGGCGAGTCCGGTATTCATAGCCAGTCCGCCTGATGTAGAATGGACGGCGGCGCGCTGGTCGTCAAAGCAAACATGTATTGGTCCACTAGGTCGTAACTAATTTTTTGCATGGTATTCTATAATCAGTTTATTGTCAATCGCGGTTCACTTGGCTTTGTCAGTGCCGTAGAGAGCAGTGCTTGGCGTGGTATATTTATTGTTGGTATAATACGTATTATTAATTATTAGTTAATATTAATATTTGTTCATATCGTAACCAGTAAAGGGTAATAGTTATTAAAATAAATATTATATATAATTATCTAGTAATTTAGCATGGCTTTCTGAAGACCCTTTGAAACGGAAGATAA